ATGGGCAAACGGTTGTGTGAAAGGACTGAAGGCTCGTGGCGGGGGGACAGTCAACATATGTTGGAAGGAAGGAGACCTTCACGAAGTTGGTCTTTGGTCCAAGGACCACAGTTCTTTTAAAAGATTACATTATAGAGGAAGTACAGTTACAACAAACATATCATCTGGCAGGATATATACTTTCAACAGACAGTTAAAACGTGTGAGGACAACAAGTCTCTGAGAGCAGCAGCATACACAGTGTTAAGGTCAAATTCATCATATTGATTTATATTCCCAATAAACGTGGAAACGAAGTCCCTTCTTTTCTTCTTCTTAAGTATCAGTGTCTTGTTATTGATTGTGGTTTTTATTTTTCGGAAGTCAGTTTAGTGTAGCAAATGAGAGAATAATTCAAGGCACCTTACTTGTATAACCATTAGTAACACTTTGAAGAAATTTGTAAGATTTGTTTGTGAGCTGTCATTGAATTCCAGCTCTTTCTAGCTCAATGGCAATGCTTCTGGGAAATTAAAAGGAATTGTATTTTTTAGTGGCTTTATTATGTTGTTTTGTTCATGCATTCAATAATGATGGGACAAAGCTCACAGCCTACAGAAAAGAAAGGAATGCCAACAAATTCTACAATTATAGCTAAAGATAAATTATGGGAGTTTCACTAAAACACCCAAAATGGGGGTTGAAATTATAAAAAAACCCAAGCACTATTTAAACATATAAACACACCCAAAATCCATCATTACACACACTCAAAACCCATTTATAAACACACCCAAAAAGTTGACTTTGGGGTTGATTTTGGGTGTGTTTCTATGTTTAAATAGTGCTTGGGTTTTTTTATAAATACATGTCTAGGATTGGGTTTATTTATAAATTTGTAATAAATTATTTGTTTAGAAAATATGCCATTATAAAATCAGTATAGCCAAATTGTTCTAATTTTTTAAAATGCAGACATTTGGGAGGCATTTCTAGCCAAAAACTCAGGTCGACATTTGAGAATGCATGGGTAACTGCTTTTAACTACTTGAACTTTAAAGCTCCTTACAATTGAATGACATTACTTAACATGCACAACTTTGACCCAAAAAAAAAAGAAACTTACATGCACAAAGAAAACAAAACTACTGATATATATATATATATATATATATATATATATATATATAGTAAGCCTCAATATTTGATCCGAATTGACACATCCCTACCAGAAAACATTAGTTTTAAGGGTTAAAAAGAAGAAACAGAAACGTGTTAATAATAGCGGTACAGAATGAATGGCTAAGAATCCAACGATCAAGATGATTGATGCACATCAGCTGTCGTGCACCTGCGCAGCACCATTCCCCACAAAGCAAAACCCTCACAAAGCCCTCGCCAGTGAAGCCACACACACTCTCGGCAACAGTAACTCAGAAAATGGCTTGGCGCTCAGCTGGTTCGTTGTCTCGGTCTTTGGTGTCTACCGCTAGGGTTTCGTCGCTCCGTTCGGCGCTACCTCTCCGTCGTCTCCGTCCGCCGACTGTCTCCACTCCTCGTCGCCTCTCATTCGCTTCTCCCAGGTCCCCTTTCAGTCTCTCCTTTGAAAGCAAGAGATTATTTTTCACCTATATGTTATTTGCTGATTGTTTGCTGAGAAAATGGAGGGAATTGAATCAATGCGTTGTTATCTGATGATATCTGTTGATTTGGTGATTTATTTTTCACAAATATACTGGAAAAATCGTGTAATTGATTTGGTTTTGTTGGTGATTTTGGGGTTTCATGGTCTAGAATAGAGTTTAGTTCACCATTAGAAACAGAAAAGAAATTTAAAGGCAAACTCTTGTCTTTCTGTTCATTTCCACTGTTTGGAGTAAGTGAGAAGAGAAAATGGTTTAAGTAGCCAATCATTTTCCGGGAGGACATCTCTTATTCTTTGCCCTTTGCAACAATCAACTGGATCATGAAATTTCTATGGTTGTTTAGTGTACCCTTTTCTTTTTATTTAATATCTGGTTGCTTTACATTATGAAAGAGTTCTTTTTATGACATTTGCCTTCTGGAATCTGAAAATAGTGGTTACTTATTTATGGTATGAGTATAACAAATAGTCTTCTCATTTTTACTGGCGCTGTTTTGTTTCTTTTAGGAACTTGGGAGAACTGGGCTGCATACAATCACTTTTGCCAATGCACAGTGTGACGGCTGCAACTTGCCTCACATCTCACCTGGCTGTCAATGCGCGTGGTTGTTGCGAGTTGTCACACGGTACCTTTTGCCGTACTTGTCAGGATCGCTAGTAGTCTCTTTGTGAGTCTTGCTGATTCTAGGACACATGACAAAATTGAAAGAAATGTTTTTTGCCGTTTTTTTTTCAATCCTTCCGCTGATGGCCCGGGAGAGCGTTAAAGTAAAATAAGTAGTGTTGGCTCATTTAAATCTAGACAGAGTGTTTGATTGATAGTATGATTTTTAAACTAGGTAGGATTTGTAAGTATATTAAGATTGGTTATTAAGAAGAAATTGGGATTGGGATTGATAGGGGAGGAACGGAAAAGATGGGTGATGTGCACAGACTTCCAAGCATCCGAAGGCAGGAGAATGATGCATCGTTGTAGGTCCTCTTTCATTCCTTGTTTGGACATTACAGATATTAAGCTTTTCAATTTTGAATTTGAGTAAACAGAGTGGCGTTTGGTCAAATAATGTGCTTAGATAACAAATTTAAATACTTTTTCTCTCATGTTTCAGGTATTATAAAATTGAGTGATTGCATCGAGTACTTGTTCTTTTTAGTCAATAATTGCTTGGATTTTTTTTCCCATGTTAAATAAGAAACACCTATGGACTCTTTGCTTTTGTTAGTTTTTCTCTACATAATTTGTTTGCTAGACTGAAGGTGGGGAGGGGGAATGAATGACTCATTAGTTGGGCCTGTGTATTTGTTTTTTCTGCTATGATACATTCTTATGGTATCATTGTTTCTGACAAAAACTGCTGCAATTTGGGTAGGCGTGCAAGTATTCAATAACTAATTATAATTTCTTCTGTCATAGTCATAAATTCAATAATAGAACAAAAATGTTCTTTGTTGATTAAAAGGAAATGGAAAGCTTTTATATAAAAGCTGCTTATATGGTTTTATCTTCAATCTGTCACATGCACTAAATCTTTTATTTAAATTTTATGTTAAAACTTGCTATGTTTCAACTTATGCTGCAAATGGGATTTTGTTATCTGTTTGACTATTAACCTTTTGATTTGGAAGGATATCCTCACATTTTGGTGCAAATATTAGTCTGGATATGCATTTTAAGCATGGAGTTGGGGAATAACCAGAACAAGTGTTTTGATATGCTTGGATTTCATGGAATAACCTATAATTTGGTTTGTTACTGCCAATTTGATTTAAAATTCTTACACAGCTCTGCCCCTCTGCTATGCAATTGCAGGGACTTGAAAAGACTTTTGGATCAGCATAGTTGAGTGCAACTATATATTGGGGTTGATCGTAGAGTTTGGCTGTATCCTGTAGGAATGAGTGCTTTTGGATTTGGATCCTTTTATATTTTGTTCTTAATAAGAAATTTGATAGTTCATCTGATATCTGTAATGACCTTTAGGATGAAGGTTTATGGGTGTTTGAACTTCAGTGCTTATTCTTGAATCTTGGTCAATTTCTCTGTCTTGTGAGTTGTGATTAATTGTTTCACGGGTCTCTGTTGATTATGACAATATTTTAGTTTTTTCTCTTTTGAATAATAATGTCAGTTCTTCTAAATTTGCAGCATTTGTTTGTACTTATTTTTGGGTTTATATTGATAATGCACAAATGCTAAAAGCTCTGTGTTAAGAGTAGCAGGACTATAAGGCCCATTCTTCAATGACTTTTTGTGATCGTTCATTATTCCTTTTAGGAAGCTGAGACTCTAAAAACAAGAAGACAAATTCAATTGCAACTCTAATCAATACTGTTGCTAGGTTGAAGATTTTCATGTCATTTCCAAAGACCTTGCACAGCTCTCATAATGCATCTGTGACTCGTGATTCTGTTTGTATATCAATAATTATTCCCGGTGCAAGTGTCATAATAGAGACTTGAAATCACATGGGATGCTGATGTTGTGAGAGGGAAGAGTACAAGTGGTGTCGCTGTTAGTTTGTGCAAGTATGGCCCATTGCACATTGCATTGATCTGTTTGTGGGAGAGGATGAAGTTCCAACCTGGAGAAGCTGGTTCATGAATCATGTGTTGGAAATAGTTGGTCTTCTATTGGTTAGTGGCCAATGTGTAGGTAGACGACTGCCAAATTTGGTTAGTGGCCAATGTGCAGGTAGACAACTGCCAAATTTGGTTATCTTCTGTTTGCCTAAGCACTTCTCAAAACAGTTAATCTATCGCACACTTCAATCATGTAGCATGCTTCGGCTGTCAATCGATGAGGTCTGCACCCGAATCACACCAAGCTCGGTCGAACAGCTCTATAGAGCATGACATGAGTTAGCTAAATTTATCTTACTACCCTTATAGTTTAGCTCATGTTTGGTTTCTGATTAGAGGTTCCTTGTCCTTGTTGCAAGTTTTTCCTCTAGCTGCTTGATACCTTTTTGGTTACAAGAGAGCCAACTGGGGAGAGAGATTCAAAATCTAAACTTGGATGTATGGGAAGAACGATAATCATTTTATTTTTTATTCAACTACGGCGAGAATGAGACCCGAACTCTTGCCGTCTTGTAAAGTAATATGCTTTTACTACTAGGACATTATTGAGCAACGATTCTATATTTAGCTAAAACTTTTAATGAAGTTAATCACTGGTGTTCATGGTAATCAAATATAACATCACCAATGAATTAAACTTTTAAAAAACAAAAAAAAAACAAAAAGTGGTAACAGAAGGTTCGTTTTCGTTTGAGCATGTCAAACAAACAGAAAACATCGAAGTTGGTTTTTCTCATTTGCATTCATACCAAATGTTGATTTTAAAAGAAAAAAGAGGAAGTGAAGGGCCACAGTTAATGTCAGCTGTGGATGCAAAGTTTCAGTTCATTCTTGTAACAAAGAAGCATGTGGGGCCACGTGCAACTTGCTCTCAACTCAAACCTACATGGGCTACTATTTGAAGAGAATCCATGAAAAGAAAAAGTCCAAGTGAACACCAAGTTCTTCCCATCTCCACTTTCTCTTGTGGTCCACAGGCCAACAAAGAGACATTCAACAAAGTTTTTTTCATAGGTGGATTTAACTCAAGTCACATTGAAGTGGGGGCAGGAAATTAATCGAATCTAGGTTCAACATTTGTTGCAAACAAAGAAAGTCAAGAGATCGATAATAAATTAGTAATCATTTTCTCCATTCACTCAAAGCTCTTCAAGAAAGAAATGGATCACATTTTCTAATCATCTTAGCGAGTCATATATGTAATGTAACTAACGACATTAGATCACATTAATAACATGTTTATTAATCTGTTATTGAATTAGAATGAATTGAGGATAATTAGATTCTGGATTCATATTGAAGTTGTTTGCTAAATCATATGGATTGATGAGAGTTAGATTCTAGATTCCTATTGAAGTTGTTTACTAAATCATATGGAATTCAGATATGAGTGGTGCTAATTACTAAAATGTCATCGTTGTTGGATTAAAGCAGATGGCAAATTTGGAAAATTTAAAATTGTGTGAGAATATAATGAGTAAAAAAGATGACTTCATAAAGGGTTAGTTCTTCAGAAATTAGAATATCACCTCACATCCAAGAATTATTCTGCCAAAATCAGGAATTCAATTCCTAATTTTGTGCGGACCCTACTCACTTTTTAATTCATTGATGTGAAGTAAACGCATGAATTCTCTATATGTGAAATTCAATTCCTGGTTAGTAAACACACCATAACTGATTATATATGACACAGAACCGTGTGTACTTGTTTCCAGTAAATTTTTTTTTTCTTCAGTTTTCTCACGAGCTGTTGAGTAAGAAATAGCTGTTGCTAATCCACTATCCATCAATATCATGCCGAGAGTTGAATTTTCAGCCTCTTTTATGAATTAAGATTTTTTTTTTAATTTTATCTTCACAAATTTTTAATAAACCATTAAAGAGATTAACTTGTCTTCAGCAATTCATGTTCATCCGGTGAAGAAAAACTTAATTACAATGGGAATAGCACTGATTTACTATCCCCGCTTCATGAAAGTGTTTCTCCATCTGGTGCTGATAACTAAACCAATTGAGATGCATGCAGGAGAAAAGGAGAAAGAGGAGAAAGCCTTCACATGGTGGTGGTATCCATGAATATCTTTTTGTTTAATGAGAAAAGGGGGTTAAAGAACCCCAAAAGAGTATCTTTTCACCTTCAAAAAGGGTTTAAAAGTTTGACAGACAAACTAAAGTGGGCATTCTTTTAGGTGTTCATTGGCAAGTTGACACGTTTGGGAATAATTATGAAGAAAATACTTCTTCTCCTCATAAGTGCTTTTCTTTTTTTTTTTGGGTACAGAGGGGGGCAAACGCTCCAAAACAGAAACAATTAAATAGGAACAAGGCGAGGGTCTAGCAGCACCTCGAGCATCAACATCTAAAATGGCTCTAAGAAAGGCAGGAGTTTCTTAAAAACATGGAGGCCATGATTAAACTCATAACTTTTGGCAGCCAAAGCAGCAGCAGCATAATTCTGCTCTCGAAAGCCATGCTTGACATAGCAGTTCCAATCTTCACGAATCTTCATAACACAGCAAGTAATAATACTGAACAGAGGGTGGGTTTGGGCAATTGGGCTGTCACTAAAACTACTGCTCATAAATGCTTTACTAAGCACAAGAATGTTAGCATTTTTTCAGCCAAACAAAGTCCTCCAAAGTCAGTGCCAAACAGACCCCAAGTGAGAATTTTATGTATGTTACTTCTCCGATTCTTATCACAAGGCTAACCATTGTTTAACTTATTTGCAACTTTTTCTTAATACCTTGTGCAAACATGAAAAGGTAAGTTGTGAAAGTTTTCCTCCTTATAACACATGTTTTAATTATTAATACTACAACCCATAAACTCGTCATCCACCAATATTATAATATGTGAATTTAATTACATTACATGACGATGTTTTAGTACTCTACAAGAACTTTCTGTATAATTAATGCAACCATATCAACTAGAAAAACTTGTGTGAAATGTTAATCAAAACTCTCGTATCTACATCAGCCTTATCAATCAGAAAAACTTGGGCGAAATGGAGAGTAGATTTGTTTTCCTATCCTTAGCCAATTATAGACTTCCACGTGGAAAAGTTAACACTCATGACATACCATGGTTCGCCGGAAATTGCAAAACAATGTTATTCCTGTTTCACACAAGTGTTTCTCCATATGAACAGGACTGCAAACTTTCAGAAAGCTCAGAATTCATTGGTTCTTGTTATAACTTTTGATCAACTTTTATCTTTGTGTGTGCGTGTTGAGAGATCTAGGGCAACCGAGCTCCTCTTGTCCTTAGCTTTGATTTAAGTCACAAAAGGACTGAATAGAAGTACAGGTGGCTCCTAATGCACTTCTCCTACTGTACATACACATTGCCCACCACCAGCAGTTCGAAAAGGGACATCAAGAAGTCCCAGCAGGAAGACACCCGCACAGATACTATTGTCCCAAAGGGAACACTAAAAAATTTGCAAGCCACGATACCACCCTATCTGGTTTGCTAATTGCTTACTTTTTTTTAACCATTATTGCCAATTCTCTGGGCCCCAATCACTCCACCACAACACATCAAATCATGAGGCAATTAAAACGAGAGTAACTCTACCCACTCACTAATATTTTAGCTGCACTGTGAAGCTTCTTATCATAATTACTCATCTCCACTCAGCATTGCATATTGGTTTGGTAGGTGCCCCATCTTTACTGCCAATTGATACCTACTTGACATGAAAGGGTTTTGTCTGGTGGGTAAAAAACTTATGTCCTATATGCAGGGAGTGATGTAAGTGGACTGTGTTTTGAACTTTTGACAGACTAGAGTTTACTAATTACTGTTGGTAACTAAGGAGAAGAAATTCACAGAAGAAAGAGAAGAAAACTACTGCTTGCAAGGTGATTTTCCTATTGACCAAGTCATATTGAGAATAAGAAAAATCCCATCATCATACTCACAAATCCACTTAAGTTAAACAGAAACCAAGTTGTATAATTGGTGTGGATAAGAAGCAAACGTGGCAGACACTTTAAATGAACATTTAGAAGAATGATTTTGACTAGTAATGTTGTAGGATTGTCAACTCTGTAATTCTTCCGGTTACTCCAAAAGGAAGGATGTAAAGTTGGTGTCATTTGAGGAACAGAAAAAAAAGGAGAAAGATGAAAGTGAGGAATCCTAAACTTTAACGAGGGAAACAGTGAAGATGACATAGACATTGTCCCCTGGAGCACCAAGCATCACAAGGTAGGGGCCACTTCATTGAGATGAGATAAAATAAAAAACAGGCATTCTCCACTTTACATTCTTAATGCTTCTCTCCATTTCTTTCCTCTTTTTCTCTTTGATCAAACCCTTCAAACAGTCAATTACAACCATTTCAAACCATTGCACAAGCTTAAATTCATCCATTTCCTTTTGAAACCCTCACCTAATTTGAGATTTGAGAAGAAATGATCTCCCAGGGAGAAGGAGAACGTGAAAGTGAACTAATATTAGATAAGGAGCAAAACAGATTTTTGATCAACAACGATAACAAAGAAGAAACTGAAGATCTTAATACAGGAGAGTGGCTGAACCTGAGCCTAGGTAGGAATTTGCTCTCAACAGAGGGAGACACAGACTCACAGTCAAGACCAGCTTCTGGCAAGGTGTTTTCCTGTAACTTCTGCATGAGGAAGTTCTTCAGCTCGCAGGCATTAGGGGGTCACCAGAACGCCCACAAGAGAGAAAGAGGTGCAGCCAGAAGATACCAGTCTCAAAGAATGATGTCAATGATGGGATTTCCGTTCACTACTTCTACGGTTAGATCACTCAGCGTTCAGCCCCACTCACTTGTGCACAAGCCAAGCAGAGATGAAACTTCACTTGTAGCAAGATTCAATGATGCAAATACAAGGTTTAGCATGAGGCCTTTCACACTGGACGATGTAATGGATTCTATGTGGCCAGGCAGCTTCCGGTTGGATTCACAAGTATTAGAGCCACAATCAGAGCCATGCAAGCTTGACTTAAATCTTCGGCTCTGATCCATCCATCCTACTACCTTAGTTTGGAACTTTGTTTTAAGACTTTTCTTTTGGAAGAGGTCTCAATTATTTTCTACCAAGTACAGAACTAGCATAGGTTAGAGGCCTACTTGGAGAGTCATCCTCTGTTTATCTACTCAATGAAACTCGGAAAGATACTGAGAAGTTCCTACTGTTTTAGGCATGTTATAATATTGAAGTTATTTCCTATTCCATGATGCATGCAATAATCTCAAGTTGCATTAGTCTCATGGAAATGAGTTCTTATGAGGTTTTTCTATTCTGCTACTGATTATCAACTTCTAGCTTTGTTGTATCTATGGCTCAAACAATGCTATAGCTTTTCCCAATATTGACTTGGCAAGATTCTAGCCTAAGAGCCACCCTAATCCCAGCCTGCTTTTACCACTCAAAAGCTACATCCCTGAGGCCTTCAGAAAGGTCAAAGCATAGGCAGATTAGCAACTCTAAAAACTCAAGAGATTTTGAAAGTAACAACAAAGTTCTGACATGTCATATTTTTGTATGCATGTGAAAGAAAGAAAGAGTTTTGCACTTGTACAACTTTACTTCCTTAAGCTCCACAAAGAATCAGATAATATGAGAATTTGGAAATTTTCCTCCGTTAACATTTTATGCTACTCCTCCCAAATCAATGCCTCTATGTGGTGCCTAGCATTTCTTTTCCTGTACTTTTCTTTTGCCTTCCTAAACTGATAAACGGCTAGTGGCTGTAATTCTTACATATACCATGCCAGCAACGGAAAACATGAGATCCCAAGTGATATCCTTACCAATGGAGTCTATCCTACCAGAAAAAGGACAAAGATGCTTTTGGGGAACACATCAACAACAACAATCCCAATTTATCAGTTTCCTATACTGACTTCTATATGTCAGATAAAACATTATGTCTATTTGTGATGCATACCTGTCACATGCACTCCCTCTATCTGGTTTCGTATGCCATTGCCTAGAATTGCTTAATATCAGAGGACATTGTTTTTCTGATACATTTTCTTTTTCACATATAAACTGATGCTAAGATTATTCTTAAACTTTATAATGAGATAACCATCTGGAACTTCCTTTAGATTAACATAGAGGGGATGTGGTCAATTAGTTCAACTTCGATACAATGGACGTTCTACACTAGCAACACATGGGTCTCTCTGATAATTTTTTTTGTTTTTGTTTTTTGGTTAAACTAGGATCTATCCTCACCCCATATCGCTTAAGCGAAGGTCCAGGGGCGCATCCTGAATGTTTGTATGTAAACCATTTTTTAATTTGATTTTTAGAGAAGTTTATTTATAGAAATAAATTATAATCTCGTATGAAAGTTGCAACCTTATTACTAATTCATGTTGTATTCCCTTTGCTTTCCGCTCTCCCCACAATTATTGTGGTGGCATGATACAAATATAAAAATAGGAAATTTGCATAAAGTACTCTTTGTTTTTTTTTCTTTCTACTTTTCCAAATTAATTGAACAAGAGAACTTAATAAACATGAGAAAGAGTAAGAGAATATGTGAATGTGAAAAGAAAAGTTTACATTCAATAGAACCCAGCAAAACAGAAACTCTGCATGGAGACAATTTACAGCCTTACACATTATCAGGTACCTTTAGCTTTTGGGTCTTATGCATGATCACAGGAAGCCTTTGGCTGATGATGCTTGGATCATTATAGGCAGCATCTTCAGAAGGGTATCCCTTCTGCACCATTTAATTAAGAAATGAGAAAAGAAAATACTTCATGCACAACGCAACAAAAAAACTTCTTTCTTTTGACAATACTACTAGTAGGAAAATTAGAAAGGTCCCATAGGAAGAAGAAGGACAAAATCACTAGTAGGAACTATTAGAAAACACCTTTAGAGAAAAATACAGTTGCTAGTTTATTAAAAGTCAGTTAGCTGACTATCTATTTCAAGTCCATAAGATAAAACAGCAACCAGATCCCATGTAGAGTAGCATGCCACCACATTACACTTAAGCAAAGCTTGACTTGAATACAACTTACATCCTTACAAAAAAATGCCTTGAATACAAACCGTGTTCAAATTTGATGAACAGAAAATGCCTGTTCATTTTCCACAAGTCACACAACAATCAAATAAGTTTTGGGAAGTTGGGGAGGTTCAGAGCATCTCTTTGTTTCACAAGAGTAAACAAAACAACTAAATAATTTGAGATAGTGTCAGAAAGAAAGGCAGCATTATAATTTGTATGCAAGCACAGAACTTCAACTTACTGCAGATAAAGCCTGAAATGTGGCTTCTCTCCAGCAGATTTCTCGAAGAATAGTGGGATTTGCATTGTCATTAAAAGCACAATGCATTCGAGTGTCCCTTAGTCTCATTAGCGCTCCATCAACTCTAAGCTGTAAGAAGATCTGAATCAGTAAGTTATAACATTAAGGAAACAGAAAGAAGAAGTGACTGATAAATCATGAAGTTTCCAAAGAGCTTGGTATTTTCTTTTTCCAATTAGTTAGAATACTTCCTAAGTAAGTCCCAGAGTTAACAAATTAAGAACTTGTGCCAAAACAATTTTATCTACCAAAAATACATTGATAATTGTGCTTGGAAGGAATGCAAGTGAATTAAGAGAAATTGACTCACCCAAAATCGCAACAGGAGAAACCAACAACTTGGCATGACTCTCTAGAAAATCAAAATGTACATGATAAGTCCTTCCTTGCCATCGTCATATTGTTGGAAAAGCAGATTAAGCCACAAGGGGAAAATGGAGATTGAAGACTTACCACTTTTACAGTTAAAAGTGACACTCCACTATCAGCCAATTCATCTTCATACAAGACCACCTGTAGAGGTTAAAAGGATGACTTTTGTCATGGCAGGTACACACATAAAAAGAAAAGAGTAGATAAACGCATGTGTCTGCATTGGCACAGCCTATGAATATGCTTCTAGTTATCAGCCAGGATGCCCACCTCATCATAAAAGAGAATAGGCTCTTTCGAAGCCAAAGCAACTACATCGATTTTTTCGTTGCAGTCTTCCCAATGGAGATTGCAGGTATCCTTAGAGATCTCTCCTCCGTCAAGCTGCCGTATAAAATATGAATTAATACTATAGTATCACTATCTTTCCTTTTTAAAGAATACTTCGTATCACTATCATAATATAAACAACAGTCAAATAAATAACGGAAAGGCTTTGCATCCAGAAACCTTGTAGTTCCTTCTTTTAAGCGAGGTTTAACAAAACAGAGTGAAAATGCTCAACTATAGAAAAAGATAAAATGTGCACCTTGTCTGCATCAAACTTAACAGTTTTGCTTCCGCAGTATGGCGTTGTGAATGTATAATCATAGTCCAGTATTATTTGCTGGGAGGGTTTACTGAAAATTGAGAAAAGGAATGTAAGACCGAAAACCAGTATCTCCATCAGTACACTTTCTTTTTTTTCTTTTTTTCTTTTTAAACAACAACAACTCAATCGACAGATTCACACCCACCATCAAGACACAACTATTTCTATTCCACAACAAAGTTATCAGAAAATAAATTGGAGAGAGATTCAGAAGTCGAGACATATTTCTATCCTGTCAATTGAATTTGCCAGTCTAATTTAGCTCTACAAAATTATCCCCATACTTTAGATAGTACAAAGCATATGGAGGGTCTCATAAAGCATCAATCAATCACCCTTGAAATCAAAAGAGGTACACATTTTAGTAACACGCTATAGAATTGAGTGTCAAAAAGCTACCCAAGAAAGAACAGAAAAACAAAAGTCCATCCGAGTACATAAAAGTAGCCACTGGTTTACCTTCGGAATTTCCATTGAGCAGCAGCTGGGACTTCAACTGGTGGCAAAGCTTCTTTCTTCCACCCAACTAGAGCATCAAATGCATTGAAATGAATTGTAAAGCCACTCTTAACGTGTTTCAGAGCCAAACAACTGTCCCCAAACACCATTTCTGGCATGTGATATGTCTCAAGCTTTTTCTCCCACCTGCAACAACCCACATCAAGAAACATCCCTAACATGGCATCTACCTTGAAAATAAATAAAATTGAAACTTTTTAACAGAAACCCAGCATCAAATCAAGAGCATACAGTTCGAGGGTGGAGGACTTGAGAATGGAGCGCTTGCGAGACTCGATTTCCCAACCATGGATACGGAGGCCATGGCGTCCGTCGGTCAACAGCTCAGCTCCGGCGGCTTTCAGCTCCTTCTCGTCAACCTCCACTTCCATTTTTCTGCTCACCGATTCTCCTGGTTTTCCCTTGCTTCTCTTCTTTCTTCTTCCGTCGCTTCGCGTTTTTGTTCTGGCTTCTCTATTCTACGGTCGAGTATCGACGGCTTGGGCGGGTCTCTTAAACGAGACTCGGACTTTGGAGCTGATACTGCCTCTCAACTTTTTCCGGGTTTGGTTTGGGTTAACGGTTTATACTTCTTTCTTTTCTTTTTTTGGTTAAATATCACAAGTTGTCCCCACGTCCGAAGAGTGAGATTAAATGTTAGCTTCTCTTTTTGTCAGGTATTTTTTTTTAAACTATTGTTTGTCAAGGTTTTCTCATACCACAGCAACAAAAAAAAAACTTTCTTGTAATGGGAATATCACTGTCTTACTATTCTCGACCAATAACACAATGACACGTGGAAACGTTAGCTTACATATCGTTTCATTATTAACCAGAATAGTAAAAAGTGTTATAGCCATTGCATGAGAGTGTTTCTCCTACCACAGGTGGGGTGAAAGCTAGTAGTTTGATACAATATTGTGTTGTTACTTGTTATTTTTAGCTTTATTTTCTTTAAAGGGTATAATTTAGTGGTAAAAGTGTTACAAATTTATTACATAAATAGTGATAGTGGACAAACAAAAATGAATATAGGTAAGTTTATTGGGCTTGCAATGGGTAGTAATAGTTGTTGCAACTTCAAAAAAGAGAATTTGTTTTCTTACATTGAAGAATACTTTCACCTCTCTTACTATCCTATAAAACTTTGTTTGAAATTGTTGTTAGCGGGTAGGCATATATTTTTTTTAATTAAGTATATCAGTTTTTTTAAAATAAAAAACACCATAGTATAGTTGTGTGGCCATACTACTTATTTTTAAAAAATTAAGAAAAAAACACCCCAGTATAGCTGTGCGGCTGTACTATTTCTTTATAAATAATAAATAAATAAAAAAGACCCCAATTTAGCCCCACGTCTATACTCTTTAAATATATTATATTTACAAAGTAAAGCAGCACG